TATTTTGTGGAATGTGCCCATAAGTGGGATTGCTGCATCTATTTCTGGTTTTCAAAAGTAAACCCAGATTGCTTTCCATACTGGCGGCAGGAGTTTCCATTCCTGCTAACAGTGTAATAGGGGAACCAGGCCTTTTTAATTAGTCAAGGGGCCTCACATTCCTGCTGGGGCCTGAAATGGGCAGGCGGAATATCCTCCAAGTCCCTCACAGCCCCAGAACCATACCACGCCACCATTGCTGAGTGACAGGGCTCTATTCCTCTTATAGTGGGGCCAACCAACTTACACCTGAGCCCCTGAACAACCCAGGGTGCTGGCCTCCTTCGTTGTTGAAATTCCATGTGTAACTCTTCTGCCGTCCAAACAGGAGGGTTGCTTGAATCTGTGAATGTGGAATTTGTAGATAGAAGGAAAATCTGAGTATAAGTGGGCCGACACAGTTCAAACTCTTGCTGTTCAAGGTCAGGTGTATCAGCAGGAAGTCAAGAGGGTTCTCAGGCTGCCCTGGAGCTGAGGGCAGTGACAGGAATAAATTCAGCGATGCCCAAATGTCAAATATTCAAGCTTTTTCTCTGATCTCCCTGCTTGCCTCTGGGAGCCAGATTGCCACCGTGAGGCCTCCTCTTCTTCCCTCCCACCCTCTTCTCCTCTGCAGGCTGCCTTCAGCCCCCACCTGCCACTCAGGTAGCCTTAATGAGTCAGCAGTGACCGCTGACCTTGGGCCTGGAGGTCTGCTCTAGACCGTCATACCAGCTTGGCCTCTGTGCAGTGTTGCCATTGACCTCACCCAGCTTCTCCAGGGAGCTCCCCTGGGCCTCTCGCACCTTGTTGGCCCCCCACATCTCCTACAATTTTGCTAATTCTTCAATGCCCTGCGGTCTAATGCTCCAGGGACTGCCCTTGACCAAGGAAACTTGCAGAGGTAAGGAAGAAGTGATTGACAGTAGTGCTTACTTTTTCTTGCATAACAAGAAGCCTGGAGGTGGGAGTCCAGGGCTGGCCCTCCCTGCTCCTGGAGATCACATAGTCACCTCTATCAGAAGGGAGGCTGCCTGGGTGAGTTTGTTTTACTGTGATTTACAATAAGGAAAAAATGTATATATATTTGGTCTTCGTTCCTGTTTCTGGCAGAGCTCCTAAAACCCTTGAAATTTCCTGGATTAGAGCAGCAAAGGTGTCTTTTGTTATGTTAATAAGGTGACTTTCGGAAAGCACCTAGGGGTGGGGGCTGGTTGCCAGGAGAACCAGCACTGTGATTAGAGCCTTGGAGCTTTCAGTCCCACACCCTGATCCCTGGGGCAGGGAGAAGGGCTTGAGGCTGAATTTACCACTACCGGCCAGTGAGTCAGTCAGTCTTGTCTATTTGTTGAAACCTCCTAAGAAACCCTTTAGAGACCTGTGTTCTGAGAGCTTCCTGGCTGGTGACACGTGGGGATTCAGGATGAATGGTGCACAGTTCTGCGAGCAACTCCAGGTTCTCTGAGTTCTAGGAGCAGGTGTGGGGACCTCTGATTTAGTCTGTTGATCAGAAGCACAGAGGACAAATTGGTCTTGTGACTGGCATCTGAAGTGAGAGCAGTCTTTGGGACTGAGCCCTAAGGCAGTAGGGTCTCTCTCCAGGTGGATAGCATCCGAACTGAGTGAGATTCTAGCACACCCAGCTGGTGTTGGCAGCAGCATTGCTTGGTTTAGGGGAAAACCCCACACATCAAAATTGGTGTCTGAATGGTAACTGGGCAGAGTGGACAGTAGATGGGCAACTAGCCCTGGCAGGCACGATCATCGTCTCTCGGAGTCTCCTTTCTCCCCTCCATGAGCATGCTTTCTAAATTGGTTTCAACTACCACCTTCTTTCCTGGGCTCCTGATCAGTGATTCCAACTGCCTGGCACAGTTTCACCTTAAAAATCACAGGCCCCAGCCTGCCAAGCAAGCAAGCATCTCTTCTTAGGTCAATTGCCCTGCAATTCTCTCTGTTGTCCAGACTGGAAACAGCAGCCCCCTCTCTCTGTGTCCCCATAACCAGTGCTTCTGCCCTGGCCTTGTCCTCCCAGGCCTCTGGTGCTGACCCTTCCACTGCTGGTCCCGCTCAGCCCGGGCCCTTTCTCTGCCTCAGGTCCTGTGGCCCACTACCTCATCTCGGACATTCGTCTATCTGTTCACAGCGTTTCCTGATGCTCTGAGCCCCCAGCCCACTCTCCCAGCCTCTTATTCCCTCCTATATGCTGATCCTCCACATCTCTGAACCCCCTACGGGCAAGGCAGATAGTCCCACACACATGTGCACACATGTACGCAAACCCCGGCACTGCTCTAGCCTGGGCGGTCCACTCACCTCCCCATCCAGACACACCACTGGTCACGTGCTTGCCTTCCCCAGCTGTGTTCTCTGCTGTGGATGCCCTTATGCCTCGTCCTGATTCAATATTTTGGTGGCAAAGAAGAGACACACTTAAGTTACCTTATTGAGAGGTTCACTGAAGGTATATGTGGACTGGGGCTGGGTCCCTGTGAGGTGGTGGGGGCCAAGGACTGGCCCTGGGTGAGTGTGTCCCATCCTGGGTGGGTCCCCTCAGCCCGTGCATAGTCCACTCTCCTTGTCCCACCAGCTGGTTCCCTGCTCCTCTGTTACTCACAGGGCGTCGTGTCTCACTTTCGTGCCCTGGCCCATCACGGATTCTCCCGCTGACAGTCAGTGCACTGTGACCAGGGCAAGTTCCAAGCAGACTCCAGGCCAAGGCAGCCTCTGTGGTAACAGGCTGCCCAGTCAGGTGCCCGTGCTGGTCAGCCGAGGTCACCAGGCTGACCTTACGAAGGGTCTGGCCTGGGGTAGAGTTGTGGGGACAGGGGGGTGCTGATTCCTGGCAATCCTGTGTCCATCTTTCCAAGTCCTCTGCTCCATCAAGGCCCATCTCAAACACAGCCTCTTCCTGGAAGCCTAACTTCCTGGCTGCCCCGCACAGGGCCTGGCTTGGATAGAAGGCCTGTAGCAGCAGGGTGAAGTGAAGACACAGGAGCTTTCTTGCGGGATCTTGCCTGCGGTAGGCATGGGGAGGCGTCCCCAGTTTAGGCCAAGTCAGAGGTGGGCAGTGAAGGTGGCCTGAGCTCAAGTACCTGCTGGAGAGAGGGGCAAGAGTGAGGGGCCTCCCTTTGGACAAGGCATAGCCCCTTCCACCTGCCCCTTCACTCATCCTCATTACCTGCTGGCCCCGAGGGCTGCTGAGTTCGCGATCTTGCTGGCCCCACCTTGATCCTTTTACAGAGGACACAGAAGCTCAGGGAAGGGCAAGGCATAGAGATCTCCTCCAATCTCCCAAGGTCATACCTCCTGTCCTGGGGCTGGACCCAGAACGCCTGACTCCAGGCAGAGCGCTCCCCGCTACCCCCTCTCCCTTCCCTCCCACCCTAGGGTTTACAGTGGCTGCTTTGCTCTGAGCAGGTCCCTTTCCCCTCTTCCCAGCCAGTTCAGGACAGAATTCAGTAAATAACATGCTGCCCATCGATCCGAGGTCACTCAGGCCACGGCTGATCGATGTCCGCGGACAGTTGGGCAGGCAGGTAATGAAGTGCCAGCTCCTTCGCGGGGGCGGGAGTGGCCCTGGGATTTAATCCCCTGCCTCCTCCACCAGGATCCAGTTTGGGTGACAGGAGGGAAGACAGATGAGGCTCTGAGGCCAGTGTGGGTTGGGGGTGGGGTAGGCATGTGGAGTTGGGGAAGCTTCTCTGTCACCGGCTGCCTCTCTGAGCAGACTTCCCTTAGGAGCCTTCCAGGGGAGCAGTACCCCCACCCCCATCCCCGCCTATCCTACAAAGCACATTCCACACTGTTTACTTATCTTTACAGACATAAGACTGTCTGCCCCTCTAAAGTGAAGATGCTTAATGAAAGGAAGGACCTAAGAGGCTAAATACCCCCGAGTGCCAGTTCAGTACCATCTCGTTCCATTTCAGAGCAGTCCGGCTTGGTAAATATGATTATGCTCATTCTATAGGCTCAGAGCTGAGAGGGGTTTAACAGTCAGTGCTGCCCAGAATGGATCGTATCTGGAAGCCTTCTAAGGGGATGAATTCTTCTACAAGGGGCTAAACTACCTTGTACCAGGGGTCCCTCCCAACTCTGAACCTGTCTGAATCTTTGGGAAACAAGGAACCAGTTGGGTTTGGGGGACCAGGCCCCTGACTTCAGATGGAGGAATCTCCGAGTGGAATGTGGCTACAAAGCCGGGCTTCCAAACCCTGTCTGCAGACACCTGGGGCTATTCCGGAAACATTGCAGAGTCCACAAATGTTTGACTCAAATCCATTTTCAAAACTATTTTAATGATAATGCAATATTTAATGACAATTATAGGCTGGCAGTTATATTACAAAACTTTTTTTATTGAGGTATAATTGACATAGAACATTATATTAGTTTCAGGTGTACAGCATAATGATTTGATACTTGTATATATTATGAAATGATCACCACAATAAGCCTAGTTCACATTTGTCACCATACCTAGTTACAAATTTATTTTTTCTTGTGATGAGAATTTTCAGATCTATCCTCTCATGTCACACAACTTTTAACCCATTTGAAATCACCAGAAAAGTTGCATTGAGTGGACATGGGCTAAAGAATCTCCTGCATCTGTATTTAATTGAAGAGGCTTGTGAGGAGGGATAATATAAGAAACCAAACCTTCTTTCAACTTGCAGTGACTGATCTGTATGAATAAGTAATAGAGAACAACACAAACAAAATGTGCAAACAAGTTGGAGGCTGAGGACAGAACTGTCACTGATAATCCCTTATTTTTATCTTATATTCAACAAAACAGCCTTGTTCTCATCTAATCTTATTATCATTTTCTCTCTTATTATAATAAGAATGTGGCATACAAGCAAACATATCAAATACATTTGTACTAACAAAATATGACTTTTATCTCTTTTGCACATTGTGATTCTACTTAGATTCCATTTGAGAAAAGAGTTCTGTTGTTGGAAATGCTGGAATGTTGCCATAGCAAAGTGACCAGGCTGCCATCAGCAGGCTCTTTCTAAGCAAGGTGGGCTGATGGGGGTGGGATTCAGGTTTATAGCCCCTGCCTCTCCTTCTACACGAGCCTCAGGCAACAGCACCCACGATGCACACCTGTCCTGAACCCCAGTCCGTTTCGCCTGAGCAGGAGCTGGACCCTTATGTCACAGGTACAGGGATAATAGGGGGCAGCTGGAGCGTTCTGGCTCCTAGTGGGGAGGTCTGAGGAGGGACTGGTGGTGATAGGGGAAGCTCAGTCACCTACAGAGAAGGCGATGTGCAGGTGTGTGACCCATGGGCCACGTGTGAGCTGACATGATGGGGGAGCAGAAGCCACAGGGATGATATAAGAGAAAAGTACAGGAAAATGGTGAGATAAGGTCCTCAGCTGGGGTCCCAGGGACTGGTGGGTGGAGCTGGTCTCCATCTAGATGGGAGATGCCTCGGTTCTGCTCTGCTATCTGACATGAGGCCCAGAGGCTGCAGCTCCCCAGGTCCTAAACTGTCTTCCCTCCCAGAATTCCCTCCTAGCCTGCCAGGTTTTATGGCCATTTATGGAGCCACAGAGATGCCTGTGGCCTTCTTTCCATCACATGGGTCTGCACTACCGACAATGAAATCACCAGCAAGATTCAAGGCCCCTTCTCCAAAGAACACCCAGGGGTGGCCCTGACTGAGTGAAGCTTTGGGGGTTAAAATACCAACCTCATCTCTTGTCACTCATTGTTTCCCAGGCAACCCTAAGCCAACCTTAGGGGGGCTTCTTCAACCTTACACTGGCACTCCTACCTCAGGGCCTTTGCCCTTACCACGTCCTTGTCCCAGATGTTCCTTCCTACAAGGTTTTGCGCAGTGGGCTGCTTCTTGGCCTCATGTCTCTGATCAGATGTCAATGCCTCAGACAGTCCCTCCTGGCCACCTCACCTAACAGAGATGCCCGCAGCCCATCACCACCTGTCCTGGCATTTTAACTCTTTCATGGCACACATAACATCACATTTTCCGTAGTGATATTATTTGCTTACTCGTTTACCTATTTCGTTTCTGCACACCAGAATGTCAGCTCCACAGGACTGTGTCTTGCTTACTGCTGTGTCCCTAGGCCCTCAAACTGTGCCTTGTCACACAGTAGGTCCTCAACGAATGAGAAGCTCAGAGCTGTGGAATTGTCCATGCTTTTCAGGGACAATTTCCTGAGAAATGATAAGCACAGAAGCTTGCAGCCTTGAACAGGAAAATGGAAAAAGGGGCTCGGAGTGGGGAGAAGTCAGCTGAGTGGACAGTGAGGCCTTGGTAAGTGGGGGTAATGAAGTGCTGGGGTGTAAGAGTGCTCTGGGGCAAAGCTGACTGAAAGGTGGAAGGTTCTGAATCTCAGTGATGTGAAGGAAAGAAACCAGGCTAAGGGGGCGTAGAAGAGGGGAGAAGACAGGGCCCTGTTTCTGGCCTTCATCAAACCTCATTTCCTTGGTGCCCAGAGCCTCAGAGCTGGCCACTTACTTGGACGAGAGGAAGGCGGAAAGAGAAATGAAGGGAGGAAAATAAAATTTTTAAGAGCTTTTTAAGACCTGAAAATACTATTCACTCAAAATGTTATCCACCAGCATGCAACTCTGTATTTTAAAATCCACAGCTTTCCCTGTGGGGCCCCTGATCCCCCTCAGCAGACAGAAACCAGGGCTAGTGGCTCTGCCTCTGTGGGGTGGGAGAGTGTTAGCTGGTGAAGGGAAAACAGCACCCTGAGTTAGGGACCTCAAAGCAAAGGCTAGGAGGTGGGACCTAGGGTGGAACATTCAGGAAAAGGTGTTAGACTGGTGTGGCTGACCTGGGGGAACCTGTGGGTGGGAAAGAATGTGGGGGTCAGGCTATAAGGGAACCAACACTGTGCCAGGTGATGGGGAGGTTTGGGGTCTCAGGCCTAGGTGCCCCCGCCAGGTGGTCCTGGAGGTGTGGGAGGCCAGGGCTGAGAGGGGCTCACAAGAATTTGTTTCCTACGCCCCCCCCTTACCTCAAACACTGCCATCCTTTCATCTGGGCCTCGCCCCGCCACCTCCCCACTTCTAATCTCGTTTAGCACGGCAATTAAATTTTAAAGGCCCATCAGCACGGTCCCTCGCATGCCAGGTTCTTCCCAGATAGAATTATTTAATAGACTGGATGGCAACTCTGTGGGCTCGGGCTGGGGCTGCAGACCCACCGAGGCAGAAAATTAATAAACACAGTGTCCACCCCCGCCGCTCTCTCATGCTGGGCCTGGCCTGCCCCTGCTCGCTCTCTCCTGCCCACCCAGGGGTTGGCAGGGACATTTCCCCGGGGCAGGGGGCTTCAGAGTTTGTGGGAGGAGGGACAGGAAAGCCTCAGGGACTTGGTGGGCCATTTCAGGGTATCAGAAACTCCATTCTGCCACTTATGAGGTGAGTGGTGTAGCACAGGTCGCTTAACTTCTCTGGCCTCAGTGCGCTCATCTGTGTAATGGGGTCATGGTGAGACTCTCAGAGGTGATGTATATAAAATGCTTGGTGTGATAACCAGCCCATGGCAGGAACTCAATAGACAAAAGTCACTTCCCTCTCCTTCACAAATGATCACGGCTCCTGTGCTGATGTCAGGGCCACCTGGCTGGGGGTAGGAGGAGGAAGTGGTGAGTGGGGAGCCATAATAAATGTAACCAGACCCTTCCAGACTTACACAGCCTGAGGGCTCATGGGTGTGTGGGCTGATGGGAACTTGGGTCTGTGACACCAGGAAAAGAGCCCCGGCCTGGCATCACGGCTGGGAATCTCCCTCCTTGCATGTTCTTGGGCATGTCACTGGTCCTCTTGGCTTCAGTTTCCTCACCTACAAAATATGCCTGGGTACCACCTTTATGGGTATTATGAGGCCTGCTGAGTTTACAATGCTGAGCCTTGGCACAGTAGTAGTTGCCCTGATGCGTCTGGGCCAGCTGGTCCCCACCTGGGCAACCCCTGGGGAGAGAAACAGCTGGGGGAGCCGAGGGGGCCAGCAGAGGGTGAAGCACCATGCTGAAGAAATTAGAAGCGTGGCTCTGAGGCTCAGGGTCTGGCCTGATGTCTGGCCTGAGCCCCAGTCTTATGTCTGGGAGCAGCTCGCCCACTCAATTCCATATTCAACACCTGTCTTGTAGGTGGGACTTGAGGATGAGGAGGGTGAGACAGGGCCCCCATATTCATTGAACAAAAATGGATTGAGCACCTACTACGTATTGGATGTTGCTTCAGGTGCAGGGGACACAGCAGTGACCACAGCAAAGATCTGTCCTCATGGAGCTGATGTTCAACAGTCTTCGATGATGGTCAGCACTGGGGACAGTGAAGGGGGGTGAGCAGGAGAGGGCATGCTGCTTTTCATAAGGGGCTGTTAGAGAGGGCTTCTCTGAGGAGACATCTAAACAGAGTCCTGACCCAGAAGGGGTCCATGTGGATATTTGGGGGAAGAGCATTAGGGCAGAAGGAATAGCCAGTGCCAAGGCCCCGAGGTGGGAGAGAGGTTGAGTGGATTGAGCAACAAAGAAGCCTGCAAAGTGTGATTGCAGAGCTTGAGGGGAGTGGAGGGGTGGGGGGTGATGTCAAGGGTGTATGAGGGCACAGGACTAGGGGCACTGTTCTTCATTCAAGAATGGGGACAAGGGAAGATTCTAAGCAGGAGAGTGACCAAATCTAGGTTTTACCAGAGCTTCTGTGGCTTCTGAGGGGAAACCAAGTGTAGAGGGCACATTTCTTTTCCTTCAATGCCTTGGCTCTTGGATGAGCGCCCTCTGGCCCTATAAGGAACTGGCCAGGAAACTTCAGGGGCCTCTAGAAGCAGCCCATGGTTGGGAAGAACCCTCCGCCAGGGCCTTTCCCTCCTGTTCCTTGCCCACCCAGCAGTCTGCGCATCCTCATTGTATAAGGCGGTGTCTGAAGCCTTGAGTGGGGCTGGGAAGAAGAGTCTACTCCCCAGCTAGGGGGAGGGGAGCTCTCTCTGATTTCTTCCCCAGTGGCATGTCCTGCAGTTGGCGAATGACTCTTGAAGGCTGAGGAGAAGGGAATGGACTCTCAGAATGAGGAGGTGCGACCTTTGGGAAAGGTGTCCCTATGGGTCTTTTGGCCTCCTCATCCCCAACCTTCAGTTGGGACACCTTCCAACTTGGGGCACAGATTCCAGAGTCACCGCTTCCCCAAAGAGCTGCCCAAACCAGAGCTCTATTTCCTTACCCATCTAACCCAGGCCCCACTGCATCCAATCGACTTGGGTAGGAGTAGCCTTCTCCACTTCAGCTGTGCCCCCTCCCCAACCCTGTCCCCACCACCCCGGGTCTGCTCCCACCTCCCCTGCAAGGTCTAGGCCTAGTGTCCCCAGCAGGCCCCACATGGGTTCCAGGCTTGGTGGGGCTGCGGGGTGGGCGGGCAGGGAGGGGCGACCCCAGAACAAAGGCGCCACAGCGCTGGAATTCAGCAAATTGCCTGGTGCGCTCAAGCCTGGCCTTTCCCGCACACTCCTGTGCCCCTGAGAATTATGTGTAGAGAAGTCAGCCTTGTTTTCCTATTTCCCTTACAAAGGAATAAATGAAAATGTTTCCAAATTGGTTCTAAAGAGGGGGTTTGGCCTCGGGCTTCCAGTGCTGATGCTGGCGCCTTTCCGAGGCCATCTCAGTCCCAGTCTCTGGCTGGCGCCCTCTGCCAGGAGCTGGGAGGGAAAGAAGGAGGTGGGGGCTTTGCTCCAGAATCCAGGTTCCAACGCCAGGGCCCCCGAGGCCTCCCCAGTCATGCTGAAATGCAGATTCTGGGTGGCCCAGACCGGGTGGATTAACTGCTCTGGGGTGAGGACTGGGGTCTGCATTGGCCAGCCGAGGCACACCAGCGAGTGATATGTTCTGAGGATTACTTTACAATCTACCTTTAAAAAAATTTTTTTTTGTATAGAAGAACTTTGGTGTAGGCCAGAGGTGTGGGGAGCGAGGTGTGTGTGAGAGAGAAAGGATTCACCAGAGACAGAATGGGGAGCAGAACACCCACGTTTTTAATTCCTGTTCCCTTGGAGATCCTGAGAAGTTCAGGGGCTGTCAGCACTGAGAATGTGGTTGGCCTAACCCTGAGGACAGCTGCCTGCCAGCTAGGGGGTGGGCTTGGGGGAACAGGCTAGAGGGGTCTCTTCCTTTCCCTTCCAGACACAAATGCCTAGGACAGAGTAGCCTCAGGGAAGCTCGCAGAGGCCAAGACCCATAGTGGGCCAAGTACCTGAGGCAGAGTGAGCCTACATTTTCAAAGGAGGAAAAGCTGATCTCCCTGGGACTCAGTGCAGGGATGCTGGTGGAAGGTGAGTGGCAGGTGGGCTGGAGACCCTGCCAGGGAGGAATTTGGCTTTTGTCCAGACCACTGGGAAGCTGTTAAAGATTTTTAGCAGAATTATATGTTCAAAGTTTTTAAAAAGCATAGTACAATAAAGCAGACTCTTTGGAGCTAGGGGGTGTCCGGGTTTAGGAGTTTTAAATCATGTATAGATTCATGTGACCACCATTATTATTAGGATTTCCTTCATTTTAACAAATCCATCATCCCCCATTGTGCTGCCCCATTGTAATCATCCCACCCTCTAACCCTAATCCCTGGCAACCACTGATCAGTTCACCATTGCTATACTTCTGCATTTTCCAGAATGTTGTCTATGAATGGAATCTTATAGTACATAACATTTTGACATTGTCTTCTGTCACACAGCATTATATCTTTGTGATTTATCCAAGTCATTGCAAATATCAATTTTTATTGCTGAGTAGTTTTGGTTGAATATATGCATCATGGTTTGTTTATCCATTCACTTATTGAAGGGCATTTAGGTTGTCTCCAATTTTCAGTGATTATGGAGTTGCTATAAACATTCATCTACAGTTGTTTGCGTGAACATGAATTTTCATTTCTCTAGGCTAAATATTCAAGAGTGGGATTGCTGGATCATATGATATATGTATATTTAACTTTGTAAGAAACGCCAAACATTTCCAGAGTGGCTGGATAATTCCCAGTAGCAATGTATGAGATTTCAGTTCCTTCCTATCCTCACCTGCATCAAATATAATTTTATTTTTCCATTCTATAGATGTGTAGTGATATCTCATTGTGATTTTAATTTATCTTTTTTTCAGTAATAATGATGTTGAACATATTTCCATGTACAAACCTGGTACTCATACATCCTTTTTGGTGAACTCTCTTAGAGTCTTTTCCATTTTAAAAAATATTTTTTTAAAACTGTTGAGTCTAGAGACTTCTTTACTAGATATGTCTCTTATCAGATAT